GAAGTGTCTCCAAATTTACATCTTAGCGACTGGAATGCGAAAATACATGCCCAAAATAACATCATAATTTACTGCTTTGCATTTGTCCTGTGACTAGTTTGCGCTGCAATATCTCTAAACCGTTCAACTAAGTACTAATTGGGCAAGTATTGTTGTAAAAATGTTTTAAAATAAATGCAAACGAGAGTGCTAAATACCGGGGTAGTTTAACTGCGCCATAAATCACAGCTAGGAGACCGGAAACTAACAACACTCACAATTTGACTCTGGGAGCAAACTGCATAGCAACAGACCATTGTGTACCATTGCATAGAAAATCCAGGTATTCATTCAGAGAAGAGATCACCATCAATTCTGAGGGGTTTGAAATAAAAATAGACATACTTGAGAATCACTGTGATAGGGTTTGAACAGTAGCCTTCGACGCCCACAATATGTTTACAGCGCAAACCTCTAAGAATCCGCACTTCTTTCGCAAATAAATCTCTCTCCCTATGTTTTTTCTGCCTTCTAAGCTTTTTAACTATGACAAGTTTATCATTAATTTTTGCCGAATATACTTCCCCAAAACTGCCTTCACCGAGTTTGGACTTTTCTGTTACATTGGTCCATTCAATTTGTGTTAGCCCTGGTACTGTCATTCCCACATCTGGCGAACCATATGAAGAACTAACATTTAAAACAGGCAGTTTTAAATCCATATTAAAATGCAGATTAATTTATAACATGTTTATTGCCCGGCCTGGCAGAAAGAGCCGAGGAATCTGGTGCGATTGGTATTGGTGCTGTTGATGGGATTTTCTCCAACTCCAATCGTTTTGGTAAGGGTGGATCTGGCATGGACAGTCCTTGTAATAGCAGTTTCATGTGCTTAATAAAAATTAGAAAGTACTGCAGATTGCTTTATATTTAATTACAAACACTTACCATTTGCAAATTGTTGTTTCATTGACTGGATACAACTGAAGATTTGTAGACTTGTAGAGGCGGCTGTTGATGACAGTATTCCTCAGGGTATTGTACCTTAAAACTACTACCTTCCACTTGGAAAGGTAGGGACTTTCATGTCGTTTTGCCCTTTGTTCAACTGTCTCCCCAGACAATTGTAACATGATTGCCTCTACAAGTCTACTTGTTGAAGGACTTTGTGCAACTTGTCCACCAGTAACAAATGTTCTGAAATGTACAACATTAAAATCAAATTATTAGTTTTGCCACTTTGGTCTGGAATTTATTATATTATACCTTGCCATTGCTGCAGTATCAATGTGACCAGAGGCTTTTTTCTTCAGAAACAGACATTTGGCTTTTTTAAACTTTGGTGGAAACATCAACACTTTCTTGTCATACTCATCCATGTTAAGATAAAGCTGTGTTATTTCAGCTGCTTGCTTGTTGGTAACATGGCCATCCAAGGCCACCAAAGCAGATGCAATCTTTCTGACTTTTTATCCTAACCTGAAATCCCCAGCCGGCTCCTCGTCTTGTTTTAAAGTAAAAAATAAAATAATTATTAGATTACTTAGATTACATTGATATCAAAGTAACTAGATTCTGTTCCGAAATATCCAGAGTTGCAAAAAAGCTGCGGGCATGCAGGCATTACCCATGAGGAAGGTTTACCATAGGCGAGGTCAGTGAGGAAGGTTTAGTGGTCAACAGTCACTAACACCAAAAAAGTGAAACAAATAAATCATAGTTGAATAGGCAGTTGAGGCTGACAAGTTGTGGTGGTACTATTGTGGTGGTATTATTGCGATTACTTGTGTCCAGTCTCTTTGGCCGAGTTATGTATAGCCGAACGAGAACTCGATTTTGCATGTACGTACGAATGATCAGTTATGACGTATTTTGACGTCACAGAAATTTTAGAAAATAACATACTCCAGATCGCGATTTGACTTTCCGAATACCCTGGTTGAGACTCACGAACACCACCATGAACGATTACAATTTGTAAACGTAACATGTGCCTCGTTGCCTGTTGTAAATTTATGTCTGGCTGTTTATCGAAATATTTTGCTTGCGTCTGGCTGTTTTAGGTAAGATGAAAGTTTAATCACAAATAACAATTAATGTGTTTTGGTCGAATTATTTTACCCATTGAAACGAACAAATTAACTGTATTTTTATCAAATTTTAATTTAGCTGCCATACAAATATACAACTCTTCATATAAACAAGTGGAGTAAAAAATCTGTTTTGAGCTTGATAGAACATCGTACTTCAAGGTATAAATAATCACAGTGATAGTTTATTATAATATTGTTATTATGAGAATATCAATTGAGCAGTATCGTACAGTGTCGCATTGGAACACATAATTCTATACGAATGAAAAAGTATCTGACTTGTTACCACTTGTACTGTTGTACAAAATGTACAAAGACATTCCTATAGCAACCCGGTGTGGATTGTTGTCTGCACATATTTACCAACTTATCTGCAGTTTATGTAATATCATGTCAACTGACCTTTTAGATGGTCTGTACAAATATATCTCTAAGATGTATGTCCATTGCTACTTGTTAGCATAATATATTCACCTGGCTGTCACTACAGTTCAGGGTATACTATATTTTTTATAATGCTCACAATTTCTTGTATTATATAGTTTTGCAGTTCTGACTGAGTGCAATCTTAATCATTACAAATAAATGTCATTTGAAGCTGACGTATGAAACAAAACTGTCAACAAACAGATTTTGTCTCCCCATCAGGCATCAGCAGATGGTTCAGTTGTTTTGCAATTTAGGGGTCAGGGTTGTAGCAACAATACAGTAATTTGTGAACTAGCAATAATCACCCCAGACTAATCAGCCCCCAATACAAAATTGCTTCCTATGGTAGTGTGGGTAGCTTTGGGGGTAACCTGAGATCAGGCTCTATTTCCCAAATTTACCCTGACACAAACCTTAATCCAATAGTTTTCCACCCATGTGCAGCAAAAGTTTATATTTATTATCCAATCAATTTGCAAAATGTTGCAGGAAAAATTTAAATTTCACACAAGGACAACAACAATCTAATTATGCATGGTTGTGATCACTATAAACAACAATTTATTTTATAATCTAATATAATTAGCACCAACCAATCAAATGACAGATTAAAAAATATTTTTGTCTCATAGACCAATCAGATTTACACCCGAAATACGATTGTAAGGCATGATCTTTTGTTAAGGTTTGTATCAGGCCTATTTATTTATTTATAGGCCTGATCGCAGATTACTTTTAAAGGATTAGTGTCACACTGGAAATTCGCGGGCTCAAACTCCTGCTGGCAGCCATTTTTTGGGACGAATAGATTGATGATCTGGGAAGTTTTTTACAATCTGTCATATATTTAAACCATCCTTTTATAATACTTGCTCCTTTTGTGTGATTTTTATCAGAAATGTACCAAACAAGGTATTTTTATCACTATTTGTTGTATTTAAGTAAAATGTAAACAATAACAAAAGCCTGCAATGCATGACCCTGACACTAATCCTTTAAGGTGCCATTAAAATGATAATTGGGTCAAAACCTGACTTAATATTTCTGTATATGAAATTGTTATTAAATTTTACATGTCCAATGATTCATTCAAGTATTATTATTGTTTATATATAATATGATGCTGTACAGTATTCAGTGGCAAGCTAGCTACAATGGCAACTGGTCATGTCACAGCTATAAACCTGGATCTATTTGAATAATGCAAATCATTAAAAACTTGCATACTGTGGCATGACCTGTTGGTATGGCTAGCTCACTGATCTAATAGATCAGTGGGCTAGCTTCATCACTAACAGTATTATAATTATAAATACAAAAGCAAGAACTTATAAACATTGAAGGTATTCATATATGCAAAACTGTCCATGCCAAGAAAGTAGAATTCGAATATTTAGCTGACCTTTGACCTTGTGCAAGGTGTTTGGTGTTCAAATTGCACTTTTCCTACTTCCTGGGCTGTTTACATGATGGAAGGTGGGATGATTTTTGATGTATTGAAATAAGTCACCAGGTTAAACAAAAGTTTAAATGCTTGTTAACAGAACTTAAATATTGTATAGAAGATCTTGTAGTTCAAGAAGATTATTATTGCTGCTTGAACATCTTTTGTTTACAGTTAACTATATAAATCCTGGCGTACTTAATCGATGAAATCGATGAGTATCGATATCAATCAATACCAATCGATATTTATCAATCGATTGATATTGGAAATCGATGAATAATCGATAGCTTCTTTTGCTGTGACTTTCATCGATTGAGCATCGATTTATTATTAATTTTCATTGATGAAAAAATCATCCGCTAATATGCATGCAATCAAACACTTAACGCCATAATTTAATTAATACATACTTTAATGTCGTAACAAACTCAAATGTGAACGGAATTCTGTAACAATGGATTAAATTAAGTTTTCATCTAGCTATAATACAGATCAAATACATGTGTACATTCAAAAAATGATAACAGATTTACCATTTAGCTCGAACACGCCGACACACGGCGATTATTTAGGATATAAATCGATAAAAATCGAAAGTATTTTGTCGATGAAAATCGATAAATATCGATGAAAATCGATGAATATCGATAATAATCTATAATGGCTATTATTTTTTGTGACTATCGATTGGTCATTGGTTGATCAATGTGAATTGATAGCAATTAAGTAATTAACATCGATTCCATCGATTGATCGATTGGATTTCCGATGATCGGTTTTTATCGATTAAGTACGGCAGGTATAAATTTATCTCCAGAAAATAATGAAGTTTTTTGCTGAATTGTGCACCGTTAGCTTATTTCAATACATCGAAATCATTGTGCCTTTCCCGCCTCATATCTCGTCCTGACAAAGCGGGATCATAAAAACAGCCCCTTATTCAGCAAATTGCGCATGCTGCCTTTGATCCCTTGGGGCCGAGGCAGCACTTTCCTTGCGATAGTAACTTCTAGTATAGTACCTATAACATACGACTATGACATTGGAGAATGCTGAGAACACAATAACTGAAAATATTCTGTAAAAATAAAAAAGAATAAGTGTCAAGTATCAGAGGTGCCTTAAACCATTGTACCGCAAATAACAGGAGGCTATTACTAAGAGCTATTCATCATGGTTACAATAAGAAATTCACCTTGAATTATTCAAAGTTATTTGATTACGTGATTCCAATGTTTTTAGAGAATAATTAATAGTTATAAATTAAATTAACCATCATTGCTGTAGCAACTAAACATTGTAATAATTATATAAATATGGCCAAGGTGAAATGTTGTAAACTGCCACAAAAATTATAAATAAAGCTGAGGAAGAAATTTTAGCATGTGTGATCTGAGTCTGACGAAAATAATACAGCTTGGTTACTGAGGTGTGTAGCTGTCATACATATTTAATACAGATCAACAAAATGTATCGAGGTCCTATAATCTATCTAGGTTAGATACCTGATATACCTACACCGTCAATTCCCATGCCTTTTTGCCACATGAACTGAATGCAAAAGTTTGTATTTCTAAACAATTCTCTAAAGGGAAGTACAATCTATAAGATAACCATAAGCGTATGGCAGGATTGGCAGCGTCTGTTAGAGATTATGTTGCCATTGCCATTGATTTTCAACCATTCCAAACATTGCCATTGATTATAAACCGCCATGCAGGGCACTATACTGCATGGTTTAAATTTAGCACTGCTTCGGAAACAAATAAGAGCATTCGCTGTCTCGCTGACTGTGTAATTGGGCAATTGGGTCACACGTGTAAAGACCTAAACACTCTCAAATGCCTTTCAAAACCACAAGTACCGAAACATTAAGATCAAATACCACCTCTGGAATGTTGTTGCCATGGTTTTACTGCTGACCTCTATATATGTGTACAGGCATAAAATCAACAACTTCAGTTGATATCAACAGGAAGGTTGTGACCAAATCATGCATCATATGTATAGGATGTAGATATAGTAGGTAAGGACTATCCAATTTGTCCAAAGTATAAATTTGTTACTGCAAATCATATAGAATCATGTACTGCATTTAACGACACATCTCTTTCAAACTTTATGCTTTCAGAATCAGTTAAGTTTATATACTCTAGTATATTGCTATTTGATGAAGCCATATTTTAGTATTTATTTTGAGGAAGGTTTGAAAACTTTAAATTTTACCCGGAGGAAATTTGAACAGGTTTTGCAACTCTGGAAATATCACATATTCAAACTGACCTGACCGTGTAGCTCAGTTGGCAGAGCATTGGGCTAGTATTCCAAAGGTTGTAGGTTCGATTCCCACCGTGGACAGGAATATTTTTCAAGCTTGCCCGGTATGGATGTACACTCAGAGTAACATCACAAGCAAAAAATAAAATAGTAACATGTCAATTGCAATGAGTTAATAACCCCAATATATACTGATTGGTATTATTACCTCATTACCACTATCACTGCTTGTCTTCTGGCATAGCCACAGTTTCATCACTCTCCAACATATCTTCTTCAGCATCATTGGCCATGTTGAAATCCCCAAATGCCTTGTCGATTTCTTTGTCAAGCTCTTGCACTTCACCTGCACAATCTCCA